TTTTTATTTAATTTATTTATTTATTTATTTATTTTATTTTATTTATTTATCTACTTATTTATTTATTTTTTATTATTATTATTATTTTTTTTTTTTTGGATGGACAGGACGGGGAGAGGGTGGTGGTGTCGGCTCCGTAAACGGCTGGCTGGTGGGTCCTGCTGCCGGTCCTGTGCCCCCGGGCTATGGTGGTGAAACTGGTGGGGCCCCCTTCTCTGGGGGGGCTCTCGGGGAACGGGGGTGCCTATTGGAGTCAGCGGGGGAGCTGGCTCCCTGGGAGTGCAGCAAGCACCCCAGTCCTTTGCTCCCCATCCCCGAAATCCTCCCTCTGCCTGCTCCATCACTCGGCCACACATGTAGGTTTTTGGGGAGGGGGTCGTTACTAGAGGGCCACATCTTCTGATGACGTCCCCCACACCAATTTTATTTTGCATTTTAGACACTTCCATCTACATCATTTTCACAACACACATCTATGTAGGGCATTTTCGGGGGGTGGGGGTCAGGGCCACCGGGGGGGGGGCTTATTTTATGGGCCTCACCACGGTCGGCCTCCTCCATCCCCTCTCGCATCTAGACATTGAGGGTTGAGGGTTGTCGAAGGGGGGGGGGTGTGCTGGCACCGTCTATCTCCTGGAGGGGGGGTGGAGTGTGCCGGACACCCCCTCTTGGTACTCCCAGTTTTAATTGCATCTGAGAGCAACACGCAACAACACCACATTCGAGCGGGCGCAGTGAGGATCGGGGTCTTCTCACACCCCTGTTCTCCGGCTGCCGCCTGGAGTCTGGGGCCTGGAGGAAGAGCGGGCCACCTGGTCCGTGGTTTTGGCTGGGGCTGGCTGCGGGGCCTAGGTGGCCTGCTGGTGGCGGGGCTGTCACCTCTGCTCTCCCCAAAGAAGGTTGGATGGAGGGGCATGAAGTGCCTGGTTTAATTTTTTTTTTTTTTTTTTTTTTTTTTTTCTTTTCGGGGGGGGGGGGGGGGGGGGCGGTTCTGGTTGAGTGGCCGGCACGGGATGGGTGGGCCCCGGGGGGGGCTCTTGCTGGGGGTGGTCCGGTCCGTGTGCGGGGTGGGGGGCCGGGCTTGAAGCAGGAAAGAGATGGGTTGGTGTGGCGGTGTTGCCGCTCCCCTCCCCTCACATCCGGATTTTAGGTTCACTTATGGGGTCATCCGATAGTCCCGGGACCGACCACCGGTGTCACCGGGTTTTTGGTCCTGGTATTATTGGATGTGAGTGTTATGTGTGAATGTGTGTCCGCGTTGTTATTTTCTTTATTTATTATTATTATTATTTTATTCAATTTTTTTTTTTTTTTCCTGTGGTACGAGTGGGGGCACTAGGGAGGGAAGGCATGATTGAGATGGTGTGTTTTTTTTGTTTTTTTTCTTTCCCAGGTTGGGGTCTCAACCGCACCCTCTCCCAAATACATCTCAAGTCTCCGCTAAGTGCGGAGCCCATTCCCCCCGTCCTGCTCTCCCTCCGCTGGCTGGCGTCGGGGCTCACCGGTGCACTGGTGGAGCTGGGGGTGGATGCCCGGGGGACTGCTAGCTCATTCCTGGCGGCCTCTCCGCTGGCCCCGGCCTGCTTTGGCTTCGTCCGGTGGGGGTGCGGCGCGGTTCGCTCCGCTCTGGCTTCGTGCTGCCCCTCGGGCTGCTGGAGGGGGTGGTTGCGCCGGCTGCGGTCTGCTCTTCTTGCGGTTTTGCGCCGGGTGGCTTTTCTGCTCTCGGGCTGATTCTGTGCGCGGTGTGTTTCGTTGCGCGCTGTTGGCATCGGTCTTGGTGGGGTGGGGCTGCGCTTTTGGCCGGGGGGGCGTTTTGGGGGGGTCCCGCGGCGCTCGCGGCCGGTTCGCGGCGGATGTGCATGGGCCCCGGCCGGGGGCGGGGCCGCCTGAGTGTTTTCCTGGGTGGTGCGGTCGCGGTGGGTGTTGCGGCTGGTCGCCGGGGCTTGGTGCTGGGGGGCGGGGCGTGTTTCGGTGCTCTGTGGGGCTGGGGCGTTTCAGTCGGCGCCGTGGGGGGGCTGGTGTTCGGTGCCCGGCCCTACTTCGGGGTGGCCGGCTGCCGGCGGGGCCCGCGGACTCGTCCCCGCGGCTCCCCGGGGCGCCGGCATGGCGGTGGCTGGGGGGCTTCTTCGTGGCTGTCTCTCCTCCTGCCTTGGTGGGGTCTGGTTTCCGGGGCTGGCCCCGCCTTGGTGCCTTCGCTTCTGGGGTCCCCTTGGGCGCCTGGGGCTTTGGGTCTCCCGGCGCTGGACTCAGTGCTCTGGGGGGTGTGCCTCTCCGGCTCTCCACAACCACTATTGAGCATTTTTTCTATGGTTAAAACTTTACATGCACAAGTTCACCCTCTCAAACAACTACAGGTGCTAGGCTTCAGGTACTTAGAGATTCACTTCCAAACAGAAACCCCACATTCATATCTTCAGGTAACACAGAGTACATGTCAGACCTAATAATATTACTTTAGCGATAGTTTCAAGGTGTTTGCTTTATTGTATATCTCGTACCATGTTTTTTGGTTGTGCTGTTCTTTCTTTTTTTTTTTTTTCCATCTCATTACAGGTGTTGAAGCAGACTGAAAATGTTTTGTCATTGTCTGCTTCCTATCTCCTCTTTCTTTCATCTTTTGTCCTGTTTTTTTCTTTTTCTTTTTCCTTCTTCTTCTTCTGTTTTTCTGCTCTACTTACATTGCAGTGTCCATATGAACTGTAAAACTCCCTGCATAATTATAATAAAGCAATTTATATACATGTAACAAGTGGAGCAGTATGGCAATTGCGATACCGCTACACTTGTGAAAGTAAAATCTGTTGGGCTCCTTTTGGCATCAAGACAATTATTCTTATTGCCACCTTGCCAGACAGGACACTGTAAAGAAAAAAAATAATAATAATAAAATAAAATAATTGTTTGCATGGTAATAAGTAGGTGAAATTGTAATGTTAGTATGGTTAAATTATTTCATAAATATGTATGTTTTTGTATGAATGATGCTATTGTCTGTATTTATTTTTCTACAATGTTAACTGTGCTTTATTGGGGATTTGCCTTCCTGTTTAGTTGGGCTGTCCCAATTGGCTGATTATTGGTGGGTCTATTTAAGGGGCACACTCCCAATGGCTTAAGGGGCTGCTTGGAGAGACTGGTTGGAGAAACTGCTTTTGAAGGTCTGCTTAGAGAGACTATATCTAAAGTCAGCTTGCTGTGAGGCTGTCAGTGTTTTGTATTGCCTGCAATGGCCGGTTTTTTTTTCTTTATTTGAAAGTATTTTGTTTGTTTTTTTTTGTTTTTTTTTTTTGTCTTCACCGTTGAACCAGTAAATAAACCGCTACACGCTTTTGAACTAGAATTTTGTTGTCCGCTGGTTCTTACCACTTTTTGCAAGTCATCTGCTTACTCCACCTCTGACGTGAGATGGGAGCTGGCGAGCCGTTTTCTCACAAATACCAAATTCAATCTAATTGGATGGGAATCTACGTTGCATTTGACGCACCACTACAAGATGAATCGACAGATTCGGCGGTATTCATTCGCGGCAAATCATTGCAGCTTGGTGGCGGTGGCGTTAGCATAGTAGCATGGACGACGAGATGATTGAAAATGAACACAACGGAGATCTAGTCCTATTGGCAGACATCCATTTAAAATGTAGGCAACGGCATGAAAAAAGTGGTTTCTACTTTTACTATTATACTTTAAGTACATTTACAAGCCTGTACTTTGTTACTTTTACTTGAGTAAAGAAGTTTAATCAGTACTTCCACTTTTACCAGAGTATTTTTATCATTTTTATTTAAGTATCTGTACTTTTACTCAAGTACGGAAAGTGAATACTTTTGCCATCTCTGGTTATATGGTGATAGTAATTGTAGAGCTCTTCATATAGACATTCTGTGGGTGAAAATGTGGAGCAAGGAAACCAGGAATAAAAGCAGAATGCAAGGAAAATATATTTTAAATATAGATGTGTTTAGTTGGTTTTCTTTTATATCTGGCTTATTTTTCTTGCTAAGAAAACCATTATGGCATATTAGTAAAAAAAATATATATATGCAATTAGACAAAAAGTAATAGAAAATGACTAAAAAAAGTTGTATTCCAGACCTTCTAAGGGAGAGTTGTATTCACGAATCTCAATCTGACTGCTCCTCTCTGAGTGCCTTGATATAAAGAATAGAAAAATATGACATTAAATAAATTAAATGAAACATATAATAACAAAATATTTCTATTAATATAAAGAAATCAAAATATAAGGAACTGACCTGCAGCAGAATAAACCTGTGAAAAATACATTTGAGTTTCTTTGATTAAATGAAACTTTATTGAATAAACTAGCTGAATTAAAGGGGTTTGAATCTGATCCAGTGTGAACAGAAAAAGTTCTCACCTCTGGACTGACTGCAGCGCCACAACAGGAGGAGCAGAACAACAAGAACGATCCCAGAAACTGGTACAATGATCCACAAGATAGTAGAGCTGACTGGAAAACCGATTGGAAAACATAAAATTAAAATCAAGAGATTTTATTAATTTGAGCATTTTATCACATTATTCTCAATTTCAGAAAATTAGCGCTTTTATCCAGAAAAATAGAATCGTATCTTACCAGATACTGACAGGATAATCGATTCACTCCCCTCTGTTGAAGAATACCAGTCATCTCTGCTTCTACACTGACATGTGTATTTTCCACTGCTGGACTCAGAAACAATAAAAGTCCAGTCTTTACTGGGTGTGCTGTGTATAACAGAACCAGATCTCCTCCATTCATACGTCCACTCAGTGCTTTCTCCTCCCTGGACCTCACATGTCAGAGTGATCGTCTCACCACTGAACATCTGAGACCTGTTTGGTTTTTGAGTCACAGCAACCTTGTTGGAAACTGTTTCCAAAAGAAACAGAAAGATTAAATTTCTTGGGAAAAACATACTAAATACTGTAACACTGAGAACACAGTTTAAATTAATGTGGTTTTTTTTCACTTTAAGGACAATAACTAAACTCACAGGTAATGTTGATCGTTCCATCATTGCTTGAATGTGTGTAGAAGTCTGGGTTTCCTCTCACTCCTTCACACCTGTAGATTCCTCCTTGTCTCACAGTGATTTCTTTGCTTTCTTTCTTATTTCTTCCTATTTGAACTTCAGAGGTGTCTGAGGTTCGTCTGAACCATCTGTATTTCCAACCAGCAGAGGTCTGTACAGAGCAGCTCAGTATCACATGGCCTCCTAATGGTATGACTGTTGGACCTGCTGTCAGTGTGGCTCTGGGTTTATCTGTTAACAAAAACAATTGGTCAATTTTAAATTCAACATTTAAGCTTCTAATTATTTGTTAGAATTTTTGTTCTGGTAAAATATATCTAAAGAGTAAGAAGCAAAGAAATTAAAGTATATAGACTGATGAAATATTGAAAATAAACCAATAATGTAGATTCTGTTTATATGACTTATTGAGGGAGTGGTGCAGAGTATCAACCATAGAACAATCAGCCCAGCCTGCTGTTAAACTTTATAAAATGAAAGATTTAGTATTGAACTTTTGGGACATTAAATATATTTTAGCTCCTGATTTTCATTAAGGTTTTCTTAGTCGAGATCCAAGATATTCTAAAACAGACATTTTATTCACATAATTATAAAGTCCTAAATGATTGTTTCTCACCAGCTGATGATTAATCAAATAGTTCAATAACATTAAATGACATGATGTCAACTTGTTATTAAAATAAAAGCCTCTAAAGTATGAAAACAGACACAGAGCATTGTAAGTTGTAAGAATTCAGCACATCAACCATTCAGAGTAGTAATTATGTAACAGAGGGTTGAGTCTGAATAGTGTGTTGGGGGTGTGGTCCTATTGGGATCCTGTAGAAATGTGAATAAGAGGGGATCTGGACAGTTGATCTGTCTCAGAGACTGTGGACAGCAGCACCCCTTAATGCTGACAGCTCATTTTAATGGACTGAATCAGCTGCAGATTTCTGTTGGACACACCAGACTGTAACATGTCGTATGTTTGTGTCCTTTCAGCTGCTCCTTATTCAGGGGCTGCCACATCAAGTCATACAACTAGCTGACAGACATGGCAAAGTTTTTACACCAGATGGCCTTGATGACACAACCAGGATTTGATCTCAGGTCTACTGCATAAGACTCACAGACTTAAACCACATCACCATGGACTCTGAACAAGTCAGATATCCTTTATAAATATTAAAATATTTGTATCATTCAATGGAAGCAACCAGGATAATGTTCTCTATAGTTTGAAACTTTTATTCAAATTACATTTATCTTTTTATTTCAGCCTAGGATGTGTTTTTATCATATTATATACTGTATAAATATCAGATTTATTTTCTCTTCTACAGTTTATACTAAGATTCTTCTTTAAAGGTCAAATCTGTCCCATAGACCAGTTGTCCAACCTCCCCCTGCAGCAAACAGCTGTTTAGTTTAGTTTGGCTTCAGCCTCTTAGATCAAAACAAACCTGACTTACCAGATACTGACAGGATGATTGATTCACTCCACTCTGTTGAAGAATACCAGTCATCTCTGCTTCTACACTGACATGTGTATTTTCCACTGCTGGACTCAGAAACAATAAAAGTCCAGTCTTTACTGGGTGTGCTGTGTATAACAGAACCAGATCTCCTCCATTCATACGTCCACTCAGTGCTTTCTCCTCCCTGGACCTCACATGTCAGAGTGATCGTCTCACCACTGAACATCTGAGAGCTGTTTGGTTTTTGAGTCACAACAACCATGTTGGAAACTGTTTCCAGAAAGAAAAAGAAAAATAATAAATGCAGTGATACAGAGAACACAGTTAAATTAGAAAAATAGATTGTAATGATTACAGGTTATTGTGATTAAACTAAGAAAGATGAAAATATTTGATTTAGTAGATTTAGTTGCTCATAGTTTTCATCAACAAACTCACAGATTATCCCAACAGTGACCTCAGAGCTTGAAAGTGTGTAGATCTCTGGGTTTCCTCTCACTCCATAACAACTGTAGATTCCTCCTTGTCTCACAGTGATTTCTCTGTTTTCCTCATTATTTGTTCTGACTTTAACTTCAGAGGTGTCTGAGGTCCTTCTGAACCATCTGTACCTCCATCCAGCAGAGGGCTCCACAGTGCAGCTCATTGTCACACTGCCCCCTACTGGTATGGTTGATGGACCTGCTGTCAGTTTGGATGTGGGTTTATCTGCTTTTATGAAAAACAGAAAAGTAGTTGATTTCATAAAGACTTTAAACATTCAAAATAAAAAGTAATGTTCTTGTTAGGAAAGTGAAAATGGAAAAATAAATAAAAGTTTAATTTATCCTTATTTTTAAAATTTTTAATGTATTTTCTAAACAAAATAAATTAATGAATTAGTTCGTTTTTTGTCACATTAAAATTTTATTCTTATTTCTTAATAATTCCTGTATTTCTCATTTCTTACATGATTATATTTTTACAGGAAACTAGATTGAGATCCCTTTGATTTTTGTATTTCTTTTGTTATTTTTCTGACATACAAATTTGCATGATGTTATAGAGCTGATATTTATTATAAACTGAGTGATGTTTTTAAATTCTGGAGGCTTACCTGGAACAGTTATAGAGATAGTATCACTGCACTTGGGTTGATGTGTGCCGATTCTGGAACAACAGCACTGATATTCACCACTGTTACCCGTTTGGAGACGTAATGTGGAGCTTTTATCTATATTGTAGGGGACAAGTTCTCCTCCATTCCATAATATACTGTAATACCAGTCAGTTTCTTTTCCTTCATTCATGTCACAGATGAAAGTAACAGACTCTCCACTATAAAATGTCGACCAGTTGGGCTGAATTGTCAGCACAGGATCTACAGGAGAACCAGCATTTAGTTCACATCTGTTCTGGTTTATAATAGATATTAACAACTAACATTAAAATTACAAAAAAGAAAAATACAAATTATATAAAGGTTAAAAGCTGAAGTTACCTTGAGTTTGTCCACAGCAGAGGAGAGTGTTCAACACTGGAATAAAATGTGAAAGTTGATAAAAGTTTAATCATTAAATTAGATTATTTTACAATTATTTTCCCACCATATAACTCATCACCCACTATTGTTGTGTTTGATACATTCAAACAATGCTAAAAAAGATAACATTTAAATATTTTTTTCTGATCAGAATAGGATAAGCTTTAGTTAGATGTTTTAATGTCTGATAAGTTCAAACTCCACTTTAGAAACTCCACTTCTGGACTCTGTGTCTGACTGTAGAAAATGTAGAGACGTCCTCCACCGCTACTAAATATTCACAGACGGACGGTGAGGCTGAGCCAAAAGGTACAGCTCTAGATTCAGAGATCAGTTTACTTTCCTACCCTGATCTACTGTCATGAAATCTGGATCATGACCAGCAGAACAAAATCCAGATCAAAGCAGCTGAAATGAGTTCTCTCCACATGGTGGCAAGGCCCTCCCTTAGAGATAAAGTGAGGAGCTCTGCAGCTATGGTGGCTTGGACATCTGTTTCAGATGCCCTCTGGACGTCTCCCTCAGGAGGTGTTCCAGGCATGTTATACCAGGAGGAGACCCAGGACACCCTGGAGGGACAATGTTTCTTGATTGGCCCTGAAACGCCTCAGGTTTCCCTCAGAGGAGCTGAAGGTGTCTGATAGAGGGAAGTCTGCCCCACCACCAGGTCTCAGATAAGTGGAAGACGCTGAGTACAAGAACACTTTCATTGCTCCACATTAGCGCTACTGGATCTAAAAATATGTGATAAAATCTGGAAATACTGAAATAAAGTATGACTATTAAATATTTAAAGCACTAAGGAGACGACCACAGCACGAAAATAAATGAAAGAGAAAAGTTCTTTAGATCATTTTTTTTAAACAATGTTAAGAAGTTAGAGCAAGTTTTAAAAAGGACAACATGACCAAATCATGTTCTTCTTATTTCAGAATTTTCCCTTCATTTGAATCCTTCATACAAAGAAAGGGATCTACTTACACATTAAGCACCGCAGACTGAATAAGGTGTTCTCCATCCTGATCTTAAGGCAAAATGATGGGTTGTTCTGCTTTGGTCAAATATTGTTCCTTTCACATCAAGCTGCAAATGCAGTCTGTAGAAAAATGCAGATGTCTGAAATAGGAGCAAAGTTTTTATCTCAGCTTGAGATCAGAATACATTTTTATAACACTGACATCACTGCACTGAGTTCCTGTTTTCATGTTTCTTGACAACGGAAAACATTTTTTTTTGTGTGCCTCTGTCACTGAGAACATTTTGGTGACAGATTCAGAGCACACTTTGTTTCTATTTCAATATTCTAATAATCAGGGACTATTATTTCCTACTTAAACATTTAAATCAATAAATGCAAAGCAGGTCTAGGAAATGATCAGAGGAACAGATAGAAAATGACCACCTACCACAGAAATGAAGAAAGAGGGACCTAACTGGGAAACCAAAGGGTTAAACTGGACCAAAAGCTACACAATAAGGTGAAAAAAGAAATAATTTCACAAAGAGAAGAACATTGTGGAACCCTAACCTAAGAACTAAGAACCTCATCAGACTGATGGTGGTCAGAGGGCCCGGTGGTGTCAGTGTACAGCAGCCTTGCTTCTGTCAGTGAGCCCCAGGGCAGCTGTGGCTATAATGTAGTTTGTCACCATCAGTGTGTGAGTTTGAATGACTGAATGTAGTTTAAAGCGCTTTAGTTAAGTCCTCTGATTGAAAAAGCTTCAGATAAGTACAGGACATTTACCATTTACCATCAAATGGAGAGAACCATGAAATATATGATCAGAGTGACAGAAACTGAAAAAAAAAAAACTGAACCAAAGTGGACTACAAAAAAGTAAGACCATAACAACCTCCAAGGTCTTTCAACAGCAATGATTGCTCCTCTAAGCTGATTTATTAACATTTAAATCAGCTGAGAATGAGTTTACCACAAAATGCTGTTTGGTTTGTAGTGCGTGAGAAGCCTCTGCATAACAAGTATAAAATTCCCCTTTGCATCTAAAAGGAGCTGATGGGTGAGAATGATCTCATCTGTCAGAGATAGAAAAAGCCATAGCTGTGAGGAAATGATCATGTTAATATTAGAAATATCAGTTAGATCTAAGCCTGAAAGTTAACTTTATATTAGAGAGTTACTCATACTGTTTCATTTCTTCATTATTCTATATCTACATCTTGAATTATTGTCTTTCTCAACAATGTTGCTTTTATCAAAGCTAGAAATGTGCCTGAGCTTTTCAGCTTAGTCTTTTTTGTATTACCAAAGACAGAAACAATGAGGTCAAAGAGAAAAAATGTTTCTCTATGTCAGGTAGCACTGCATGAAAAGTGGGATTTTCGTCAATATACGGCACTGTAGATTGTCGTGGAACTTCAGGTTAGCGGCAGTTTACGACAATTTGCAGGCTTCGCCGAAAACTCCCGTAAATTGTCAGAAATTGACGTGGACTCTCTTAGGCAGTGTTCCCCCCATGCCTCCCCCCCATGGAATTCTAGGGGAGGCTTTAACATGTAAATGAACATGCTGTGAGCTATACAAATGCAAATCAGGGTTGCAGGGGGGGTTTTACTCCAAGTGACATTTTTCTAAAAGGTAAGAATACAAAGAGATCAGGCTCAGTATAGCCTCTTACATTTTAGCTTGAATTGATTTATTTAATTAAAGTATAGAGACCAAAACAGATCTTTAGCTGACAGAGCAATACATTTAGAGCAGTAATTATAAAAAAAAAAATTGCATTTAAGATAAAGAATAAAATGTTGTCTGTCAATATGCTCAATTCACAATTACTTAAGTGGAAAAGTTTCAAGAAATGAGTCTGAGATGATTCACTTTATAACATGGCGCATTATCCTGTTGGAAATAGCCATCAGAAGATTGGTACACTGTGGTCATAAGGTCCGGCCAGGTCAAGATCCGCAATTGCAATCGCACCAAACAGGAAAAAGAACATCGACAAATTCCGGTTCGTCAAATTAAAATATAGCAGCAACAGATCAGTGACTAGAAATTATAGCACAATTCTTATATATATATATATATATATATATATATATATATATATATATATATATATATATATATATATATATATATATATATATAAAATAAAAAAAACTAACACCGTTTATTTAAATGATTGGATCCAAACTATTGGTTATTCACCAACCAGGAAGCAGATTTCTCATCTCCATCAACATATTTATTTTATACCGAGGGACTTAAACTTTAATCAAATCCATTCAAAAGAAACTTCTTATTACAGGAATGAAAAGAGATGTTTGGGAGAAGAGAACAAGTTCATTCAAAAAAAGCAGTTTTGAATTATCCTTATCCCCGTTACAAAAATCTACAAAAATATATATATATATTTGGGCAGAAACTGAACATATGCTGGATGATGGTGGGATTTTTTTAATATGTCATATTAAATTAAGCGCTCACAGGGTTCATACAGGAATGAGTGACTCTAATTTAATGCTATTTGAAATGATTTTAATGCCATCAACAAGAACCATGTACACAAGTTATTAGTGTACATGAAATATGAAGGAGCTGTAAGCAGAGTTCCATGACTCCTGTATGTATGTAAACACACACACACACACACATATATACGTATATATATATATCCTCTAGCTTTTTCTCCGCCTGGAGCGATATAATATATCTGACGAAATTGTTTTTATAAGCATTTTTTATTAAAGAGTTATAAATACTTCGATAAACATATTTAAATAATTTTAGTGCCAATTAAGGCCTTGATTTAAAAAAAAAAAAAAGAAAGATTTTTTAATTATTTTTATTGATCCGCGGAAACTCTGGTTCATCTCGCGCATGCTCTGTACGATCTCCAAGAAACTCAGAGCGGCGCGGCTGGATCCACAGTGGAGGATGTATGCTTTGCTTTGTGCAGGCAGTCTGGAGCGGAGAATGGGGGATTTCGGGGTAAAACTCCTCTTGGACGCGATGGCGACTCTGCATCGAACAAGACGAACTCAAAGAAGAGATGCTAGCGGTAAACAGAGATGGGAAGTAACGAAGTACAAATACTTCGTTACTGTACTCAAGTAGATTTTTCTGATATTTTTACTTTACTTTACTACTTATTTTTATGGCGACTTTTTACTTCTACTCCTTACATTTTTACACAAATATCTGTACTTTCTACTCCTTACATTTTAAAAAATTGGCTCGTTACTTTAGTTTTGAATCATTTCAATGGAGTTACCGTTATTATTTTTCACGTCATCAATACCAAATTCAATCTAATTGGATGGGAATCTACGTTGCATTTGACGCACCTCTACAAGATGAATCGACAGATTCTGCGGTATTCATTGGCGGCAAATCATTGCAGCTTGGTGGCGGTGGCGTTAGCATAGTAGCATGGACGACGAGATGATTGAAAATGAACACAACGGAGATCTAATCCTATTGGCAGACATCCATTTAAAATGTAGGCAACGGCATGAAAAAAGTGGTTTCTACTTTTACTTTTATACTTTAAGTAAATCTACAAGCCTGTACTTTGTTACTTTTACTTGAGTAAAGAAGTTTAATCAGTACTTCCACTTTTACCAGAGTATTTTTTAACACAAGTATCTGTACTTTTACTCAAGTACGGAAAGTGAGTACTTTTGCCATCTCTGGCGGTAAATATATGTTCGATTACTGCCTGCTAAGCTAAAAGCAGCCTAGCCTAAGCTACGGCTAATAGCAGCCTAGCCTAAGCTCCGGCTAATAGCGGCTAATAGTAGCCTTGCAAGAACAAGCTTTATTAAAGTGTATTTTTTATGATTCACAGAAAGCAGTACGCTGTCTTCACAACTCGGAGACGGAGGAAGGGTAAGATTTAAAGAATATGCTTTCATTCTGCGGTAAAAGGAAATGGATACCGATCATAGTACATTTTGTTTTCACAGACCTCCTATTTGCTCGGAGTCATATCAGCAAGTCCAGATTTGCACGATGTTGATAAAGACGACATTGTGTGTAAGTGACTTGTTTTAATGTTTTCTCCTTCCTTGTTACTGTGACTTGCGTTTGATTTTTTATTTATACCACTCTCATTTAATTGTTTTCCAGCTGCCTGTAAGACGTATTTTCAGACGGTACGCAGGAGCTTCAGATATACGCTGCCAGCCAACACGCTGCGTGCGGAGGCTATCTGCTCGGAGTCGGGCCAGAAGAAAGAGGGTAAGACTTTATTTGGTGACTATTTTTCAGGTGCATTGATAGATGTGTTGTGTCCATACACAGTGCGCTGATTCATTGTTTTTTTTTTCAGCTGCTGAAAGCGAGGCAGAGTGTGCTAGCAGATGAGGAAGTGGAACTCTGGAAGTCGTCGGCGGTGTCTCTGGATGGATTGTACTGTCGCCGCCATTTCGTAGGCCGGATCTCACTGAACTCTGTGTTAAGCTGCAGTCCCGGTTAGAAGCGATGCCGAAGTACAGGGCCACGCACAGTATGCGTCTGCACATCGGACCTGCCTCGGAGGGAATGCTGCCAGTTACCTCCAACCCCGAGGAAGCAAACGGACCATTCACGGACTTTTAATTTTTAGAAACGCATGTGTTTGGATACGCGTTGTATATAGTTGTGTGTGTTTTAATAAAGCTCTTTCTTTGCATAAACAGCTTCCTGGCAAATGTTCATTTCCTGTATAAATTCATTCATGTCCTTGATGGTAGCATAATAATTGTGTAGTAGTGTAGGATAACATAAATACACACCATATGAATGAATAAATATATGAATGAATAAATATATATATATATATGAATAAATATATATATGTAAATTTATATGTAAATATATATATATATATATGCCAACCAATCACGAGCGACTTTACTTGTTTAAAAAGAAGTGGTTCCGTCCAATACTCAGTAAGAAAATTAAAGCCTGGCGTGGCCACGTATGGTTTTGCTGCCAATCACGAGCGATTTCATTTGTTTGAGAATAGTGGTTTCAGCCAATACTGAGAAGGTTATTCAAGCCAGACCTGGCCAGCCGCGCGGGTTTGCTGCATTCATATGCTAATTAGGGCCATTAGTACAGCTGATCGCTCTCCACATACGTCATGGTACGTTTCCGACAATTTGTGGCACGACAAACGCGGACAAGCACGGGTTGCAAATTGTCGGAAACTGACGAAAATCAGGCAGATCTGCGGGAGTTTACGGGGGTTTACGGGGACGAAAATCTCACTTTTCATGCAGTGTAGACTTTTCTCAAAATGCTTGAAAAACTGTCCTGCTACCAGAAAATCCATGTTCGTCTGTCACTGCATTCAGTCAGTTGAGGGTCATCATTAAAGTAATTTTAGATGATGGAGCTAAGAGAGACCTCTCAGCACTCAGAGATGTTATACGGCCATAAAGAAGAGCTTTATGCTTTC